TTCTAGAGTAACAATAGCATGAAAAGTACAGTGCTAAACAATAACAAGGATAGTAATACAAGAATTATTCTAGAATGAATAACATTTCAAGGGTAAATGCTAGTAAAAATCAGATAAGGGGTATTGAAGATCTTGGATGAAAATCAAGTATAACAATATATAGTGAATTCTCTTTAAATATATATACTTTGGAACTATAGAAAATTTTTTGAAAAATATGTATTTATAGAGGGTGTATATTTATGGAGATAATTTTATTATAAGTTTTATGTACTTAAAATCAAGCTTGACTATGTATTTAGAGAAAGAAAATATAGTAAGTATATTTATAGAAGGTGCATTTAAAGAGGTTTTTTTGTATTAATTTTAATATATATATATATATATATATATTATATTTAAATAGTTTACTATAGGTAGACAAGCATTAAACTTATCAATTAATTAATTATATAAGAGATATTGTTACTTTCTTTATATAAAAATTTTACAATTTAATAAAGTAATAATATTTACTTATAAAAAAAAAAAAACTTTATATATTATTAATATTTAAAAATTTAATTACTGTTTTAAATATTTTCAAATAATTGCTTATTTTATTTATTTGTACTATTTTGTCAAGAATATAACAAACTTGTTATAATAAAAATATAATATATTACTTGTTTAATATTTTCAAATACTTAAATTTAATAACAAATTAATAAGTTTAAAATTTAATTATTTAAATCTATCACATGATTCGTTTTCCCATAGCGAGTGGAAACATGATTGGACAGAAAAAAATATAATCAAATTTTTTTGGTCTGATTTTTATCAAATGCACTTTTTTTTAAAATTCCAAAAAAATCTTTTACCATATAAAAATTCACAATTGAGATGTTTGTCGTCACGTGCGGCACCAGTCGCCAGGGCGGTAGTATATAGCAAATACGGTAAACCCGAAGAAGTTTTACGGTATTTGTTTCCAATCGAAATATCTTGAAATTGGTTCTGCATTGTTCTTATTTGATTGATAATTTCCCATTGAAACATCAAAATAGCGTGATATCACATAAACTACCGCCTCTAACATCGAACACTCTTCATCTACGTTTTCTTGCCTCACCAATTACCCAATCAGATATCCAACAAATAGAGGGCACCTTTTTGATAAAGCCTAAATTTACAAAAACATTGGGTAGCTTAAAATTCAAGGATGAGGTGGCAATCGGTGGAAATGAAGGGGTTGCGGAGGTGATAGCTGTTGGTAAAAACGTTAAGAACATTAAAATTGGAGATAAGGTCGTCATGTCAAAAATTGGGTTTGGTAGGTGTAATTTCTCTTCTGGCCTTCTTAATCACGTTACTTTGGTCACATGCCGTTTTCTTTCAATATGTAGGTACGTGGAGAACGTATGCAGAGGCGACGGAAGATGATATTTTGCGATTACCCATCAGCATCGGCACATATCAGGCCGCCACATTGAGATCGAATATATTCTGCGCATATCGGTTGCTAAAAGATTATGCGCATTTAAAAAAAGGTTCTATTCAATCATCGAGATGTTCGAAATCGTAAAACCGGCTTTATTTTTTTTTAAAATGTATTTCGTACAACTTTTTTCAAATCAGGTGATTTTATTGTCCAGAATGGAGCCAACGGTGGAGTTGGTCGGGCCGTCATTCAGCTCGCAAAAGCATGGGGCATAAAAACAATTAACATAATAAGAGACAGGTTCGAGTTTAACCCCGCTATTCTTACTACCGTCATTATTATTAAAAATAAATCCAAATGTGTAAGATATTTGAGAGAAATTCGCGGACTAAAAAGCAATAATTGTTTTGTGCAGGCCCATTAGTGGTAGAAGCGAAGTAGAAACTCAGCTGGCGATGCTAGGAGCAAATTATGTCATAGAAGAATTCGAATGGCCATCTCAAAATACATTGTATCGTTGGACTGGCGACCCGACGGGTAAAAACGTCTCACTGGCTTTAAATACCATGGGTGGACAAAGCATACTCATGATGTCACACATATTAAGGTATTAAAATTGAATAATCTGTTTGAAGAATCGATCAAACCTGTAACTTTTTCGACATGAAGACAGAATATAAATTATATCGCCTTGTTCAATATCTTTTAGAGACGAAAGTCAAATGGTAACGTATGGAACATTTCCCAAAATTACCTCACTCTCAATTCCAAAAATAGAAATTTCCACGGATTCCTTGATGGTCCAAGAGATAGTTTATCGGGGATTTTGGTTACCCAAGTGGTTACAAACACATTCCAGAGAAGAAAAAGTAAAGATGTTGAATGATGTAATCCACCTTGTCAAGGAAGGGAAATTGAATGACGTACCACACAGTGTTATAGATTGGGGTGACGTGGAAGATGATGAGGAAAAATTAAAAGACGAATTATTGAAGATGTTTGAGCACGTCGGCGTAGAATTTACGGGAAGGAAACAGGTTATCAGATTTCAGACGTAGAAAAAGAAAATTTGAAGAGTAATGATGAATTCAGCGGAAATATAAATAATAAAGGTTGTTCTTTTTTATGGATGATTGAAACAGGTGAATATCTAGGAAGATGATACGATAAAAATAATTTCACAAAGTTTCAAAAACAAACTATATATGGGTGTAGTAATCATCTTTATCATTCAAGAATAAACTTCATCAATCTTTTCTTTGTGAATAGCAAATGAAGGGGTTACCCAAGTTCCGCAAGAACATTGCATTCCTGCACAAATTATTCATGTAAGAAATCTATCCAAATTCTTTGCGAATATTTCTCAGAGGAGGAAAAAAAAAATAATCTTACCGGCCCAACTGTAATTCCCCAATTTGAATTTACACTTTGGACACTTGATCTTCCCTTCCAAATTACTCTCACCGGCATTTTTTTCTTGGTCATCATCATCAAATATCCAATCCATTGGTTCGATAAAGTACGAACACTTTGTATTATAGTTTGAAGAATCCCGTTTTTTGTACGAAAAAGCGGATTGACCACGGCCTTGAGCGTGGGATAATATATTTTGGGACGAGACTATTATTCGTCTATTTTATTTGTTTATTAGACATTGAATGTAAGGAATTCGGGCGTATGCGTTGGGTTTTCAGAATTGTCAGTAGGTAAATTTTTTTAATAAAGAAAATGGATCGAACTTTTCAATTCATCGCTAACAAACCTGCACTTCTTACATTTAAGCGAAATCATTTGCGGCGTCATAACAGTATCTGTGTTACCACCTTCCTCGGTTATCGATGTTGACAGAACTTCCTCTTCTATGGTTTCCGCATTCTGCATCGCTGTCAATTCGCTTGATTCAAGGTTCCGAAAGTAACGATCGACGTAGAAAAAGGGCTATATTTATAACACGCAAATAATCACGTGTAATGAATCGTCCAATGATATTTAAAAAAAGATTCCATCTTTATTTTTCTTTAGAACTTTTTAATTTCATAAAATTTTTTCTCCGTATTCCTCGATACTTTAAATCATATCATAACTTTATAAATGTTAAGCATCGCCAGTGGGCATTTGCGAAATGTGTCTATTGGAAGACAAGAAAATTGACGCGTCGAATTTAAAAATTGATTCAAGAAAATGAATCTAATTATATAAATTATAATTTGTTCTTTGACAATTTGGAATGCACTAATAGATTTAAGTTACATTATATAAATATTATTTAGATGAATTAATCTGAGTTTTCAGGACTCGCTGATGCTTTCTTTTTGGCTCCGGCGCTGCGTATAAAAGAAAGAAAGATTTTTGTTAACATTGCAATCAACAGTTCACGCAAGAATAAAAAAATGACTAAGGCATTTGATCAAAACCTTTTTCATTCTCACGAATATAAAATCGCCTTAACAACATTATGGATTCTTCCCTGTAGTATCCACCTTCGCACGGATAAGGTGGATGTAGTGATAAGTTTGGACTAAAAACGATTTTAAAGAATAAATTAGTATGCAAGAGATAACTACACATGAAAGAAGAGTCATTTTTGATTTTTAAAAAATTACTCCTGGTGGATTGTGAACACGGATCCCGTTCCTCCGAATCTTTCATTGGCGCATCCATAATAGACATGCTTAATTCCTATCAATACAGCGCATATAAGTAATTGTTGTGAATACACCCAAAGTAATAAAAAATTTATCAACCCAATAGCCTTAACGCATAAGCACACATGACGCAAGGTTCGACCGTGACATATAAAACACACTTTCGAAACACATCACTTGTGTATTTTTGTGACGCAAGGATCTCATCGATTGCCTCCAATTCGGCATGCCTTGTTCCCTAGAGTAATAATAGAACGGCAAGTAAAATAATGAAACTGCAAGTCTAAATTGTCTGAATTATGGTGTAAGTGATCTTTTACATTTTCCGTTTCATTAGTTCTATTCCGTCCACTGCCAATAATAACTCTTTCATCTCCATCTTCAAGAACAAACACACATCCAACAGGAACTTCCTTATTGTCGTATGCCTCTTGCGCCTAAAAGGGGTTTGATCAATCTTCGAATCGAACGGTGAACAATTCTTTCAATAACTTACAAGCGTTAAGGCCGTTCGCATGAAATCATGATGAATTGTTATTCTTTCTTCGGTTTGGAAAGAAACCGTCGAATCCGTGTTCTCAATGTCGTTATTCATTGATCGTTTATTAAACAGAATTGTACTCCGAGATTTACTCGGATAAATAGTTGATCATCGAAGATCGCCAGCGAATTAATTAAGTACATACATAGAACTCCTAAAGAAATTTTCCGTAAATGCAACCCCCAAACGTGTATCATTCAAATTTCGAGAACGCAAATAAAGTGTTGTCGAGTCACATGATTGATTAAAAGATATTAGACTCGTTAAAATTTTATAATATACACGGTACATGTACAGTATATTGTATAAATTTTTTAAAAAAATTTTTATTGAAAAATTAGGTAAAATTATTTAAAGTGTCAAAAAAAATTTTTTTGTTAAAAACATCAAATAAATAATATTGGTATTTTAAACTATCGATTTATTATAATTGCATAAATAAATTGAATAATCTGTAATTATAAAACTATTATGCATATAAATATATCTATATTTGATATTTCATTTTTTTTTTTTGTAGATAAACATTATTTTTTATTTGATTTGTATAATCGAATATATACATTGTGAAAGAAACAAATATTTCTATATATTTATTTCATTATTTTTTATATTTTATTTTAAATAATAAATTTTATTTAATAAAATATTTAATTATGTAAAAATTTGGTTTTTTTAATAAATTTAAAAATCAAATTTCATATAAATCATATTAATTATATAAATTTACAATAGCTATATTGATTAGTAAAAACAAACTCATGATATAATATGTTTTTGTAAAGTATTCATATTTGATATTCAAAAAGTATTATCATTAAAAATTTTAAATTTCATTGATCTCTTTTTATAACTATAATATGTATTTGATTTAAAATTATTTTATTAATTAAATTTTTTTATAGTAATTTTTTGTTTAATAATTTATTTACAATATATGTATATATATTATCAAAATAATAACAATTGCTAATTTTTTTTAAATATTAATTAATTAAATAATTAAAAATATAATAATAAGTAATAATAAATAATGATATCAAATTTTTTTAAAAAATATAATAATGAATTATAATTAAAATTTATCTGTAATATTAGTTAAATTTATATATATATAAAAAAATTGCCTAACTTTAAAATCTTAAACAACCTATTTATTTTTATATATTTCGAAATTAAAATATTTTTATTGTAATGAATATACAATACGCGATTATTATTTCATGCAATTGTTAAATATAAAAATTTTTTGTCTTTAGTTATATACCATAGTACTTAAGATTTCATTCCAAATAATAAAACTAATCCCAGAGATAAGCATTTCAGAAATAACCTATTATACATATACACGACAAGTTTAATCGTACAATGGGCAAGGGATAGGTTGGAATTAACTATTTTTATTAACCTCTAATAATTATTGCAAATAATATCATAAGCATTAAATAAATTCATATACAGTAACTCAAAAGTAATTTTATTTTGATGTTACCTAAAAATCTAAATTGTCAAAGTCAACTAAACTTGTGTCTGTTTAATAGAGTATTTAAAATTAAAATTTATTAATAAAAGTTTGAGAATGTCATGAACGTTATACTATCTACAGTATATCTACCTGCATAATCATCCGACAACATTTCAAGTACTTTCTCATAATTAGGGGCATTAATTGGTTGTGATAAATTTGAAAAATTCAAAAGTCTGCTAGTATAGATGGCATTTGGGCGCGTTTTATAATTAAGTCCCGACGAGAAATTATTTTTTTTCGAAACTTCACTTTCGTAATCTTTAACTTGTTCCTTAAAATCCGAACACTCATCACCATAAAGCCTACCTTCTATAGTTTTCCATATTTTATAAGCACTAGGTCGTTTCGATGGCCTCGCATCCCAACATTGCATTATTAATCTAACTAAAAATTTATTCGTCTTGAATGGAATTTTTGGACGTAAGCCTTGACAGATTTGTACGGCAAGATCTTGATCATAAGGAATATTATAGTATGGAGGAAATCCTGTGATAATTTCATATGCTACGATTCCAAATGAATAAATATCTGCTGCTGGTGTGTAAGCATGACCACACAAGACTTCGGGTGCAATGTATGGAAGAACTTCACGAATTTCTTGGCGAGTTTCGCTTTCTTGAATTTTATTAAATAATTTGCAAAGGCCTAGATCCGAGATAACCAACAACAACTTAGAATCATATAAAAGATTTCCAGGATGAAGGTCTCTAAGAACTAATTTCTTTTTGTGCATATTACTCAGACCATATGAAATATTATCCAACGACTCTAGTTTTAATTTCAAATCCATCTTGTGAAAATTTTGGTCCAAATAATTTCTGAGACTGCCATTTTCTTGAAAATCAAAAACCATCATATAGCACAATGACTTTGGTTGTTGCGTAATTCCATAACAATGGACAAATTCAACTGCCCATAGAATAGAATGTTTCTCAATCTAAATTTCAAAATAAATTATATTAATAATAAAAATATAGTTAAACGAGGTTTAATATTCTTTACCTCATTTATAAGATCGTCAACTAAGTCAAGCTTATCTAAGGTTTTCAATGCTACTTTCGTTCTAGAAAACCTATCCCATCGCTTATTGAGAACATTCCATTTTTCAATATAGCCGTCTTTCCATGTCGCAGAATCCACAGTTCCATATCCTTCTTTAGCAATATATTTGACATCTTGAAATTGTGTATACGGTATCCATTCTAATATATCACCCTCATAAATAGCTTGAAGCTGAGACTTTTGTATAAATTTGTCGATTTTTTTATTTCCACTCGTCCATTTTCAAAATCTTGTTGAAAATGAATTCTATTGTATGGTGTACACCAATCAATTTTAAGTAGTTCATATTCTTCATTACATTCGGGACAAGTCATATTTGATCTCTTTAAACTTGAGCTTTTTTATATGTATTCCCTAACATTACACAGACACAATAAAACTTGATTTTAAGGTTACTGTAAGTTTGATTATTTCTTTACATATTGTAGTAGGAAAATCTTTTTGATCTCAAGAGTACTTACATGACTAAGACGTGTTTCAATTATCATATAATTTACTGACATTGTTACTTTTTTCGCTTAATAAATATCATTTGAATTATGAATTATATACTAGAGAGTAGGCAGAATAGAAAAAACACATAGTTATAATTATCCTAGCTTGATAGATAAATAAAAATAGCAACAATATAAAATAAATTGCGCGAAAGCCTTATAGTCAGAGCAGACATGATTTATAATTTGGTTGATATAATCTATTATGTAAATTCAGCTTAATATATTTATTGTTGAGATGCAAATATTTAAAAAAATATATTTAAAAATTACAGTATATCATGTTATTTTATTTTGTCTTTAATTCATTCATATTTTAAATAATTAAATGTAATCAATACAGTCAAACCTGGTTATAACGAATTTTTGAATTTTGAATTTACTCAAAACTCATATAAAAAAAGAATTTTATTATATAAAATTTTAAAAATTCTTTATATTAAATTTTTAAACAATTTTTTTCAATTTTTACTAATTAGCCCAAAGGCTCGTTATATCCAGGTTTGACTGTATTTATTTACTTTTGAAAAATCAATTCAAAAATTTATACATATAATTTTGATATTTAAAATTTTTTGCATTACTAACTCTCTTCTTTTGCTTGTTGTTTTTCTTAGATAGTTCAAGTCACAATTCTCTTTAATGACTTCTAAAATCATTCTCTTACAACAACATTATTTTAAAAAGGAAAGTTAATTAATAACTTCTTATTTAGATGAATTTATCATTACTATTTATAGTAATTTTTAATTAATACTCCAGTATTGCATAACTGTTTTACATTTCTTTTTTCAATAAAGAAGAATGTTAATTAAGTTTTTTTATAGTTAAGATTGTTATTCTTTATTTTTTGTACTTTTTACTTTTATTTATGTCCCTATTACTATCTCTAACTAATATGCTATATAACCATAATGTTATGATTCATAAACTATCACACTATAAAATAAATTATCTAAGTTTTTTATTATGTTATTAAACTATTTGCTAGAAAAACATCCATTTCTAATTATATGTATTATGTAAATATTATATTACTGGATCTTATCTAAACATTTTTTTGCTAACAATATATAATACAGTATATTGCAAAATTCTTTAAAGTTTTATTTATGTTATATAAATATAAAAATATTTTTCAAAACAAAAACAATTTATTTAAAATTTAAATATATAAACAATATATATTATAACATATATATATATGAATAATTATTTTGAAGGTGATAAAAATGTTAGATATGATTTTTTCAGATTCAACTTTTAAACAATATATATAAATAAATATTAAACTTTCTTTTTATTATATTTTTTTTGCTAAAAATTTTTTTATATTAATTTTTATTAAGAAAAAATAGTTTATTCTTTTTATTATAAGTAAGTCCCAGTTTAAAAACTCAAAACTTTTAAGACAATTGATGTAGTGAAATAAGATTTCTGATCAAAATCTACTCAAGTTTGAGAGTTTTACTTATTCTTCAGTTGTATAAAAAAAATCTTATGGCAGTTTTCTACTCTTTTGTTTTTTTGCATTTCTTCTTATTTTTATTATATTATAAAAATCTTTTATTTTAATATTATCATATTTGTTAAACTAAATATTGTTACAAAAATATATTTAAATAAAATTGTTAAACTTAATATTTGTTTTAAATTAACTTTTATATACAATATTACTGTAGCAATATTTGCTATATCATTTTAAATTTGAGAAAATTATTTATTCAAAAAACTAAAATCAGTTTACTCTCTTCAAATTAAAGTTCTAAACTGAATACTAACTTATAATAAATTTAATATATGAATTGTAACTTACTATATTAAACTAATAATAAATCCAGTATTTATTTGGTATTAAAATAATTTTATTAAAAATTTTATTTCAGATAATTATGACTTTTCAATTATCTAATTAGATTTTGTCAAAATATCTAAACAAAAACCAAACCTGCTTAAATCAGTTTTTTAAT